TAACGCAGGTTGTATGGTTGTCAAAGTCTTAGGGAGGTCCATGATCTGAGAAGCGCTTTTTTAGCTGTATAATCAAATTGTAGAGTCAGACAACTACAAAAATAATATAAAAAATAACTTCAAACTATACAAATATCGTTATCATCGAATCAAGATGATTGCTCATGCAAGTAAAAGTCTCTAACGAAATGGGTATAAATTTTTTATAGGATAATAGGTCTAGAATCGATAATTTGATTTAAAAAATTCAATGTGCTGTTTTTATACACTATTATTGGACCTAAACAATAGCACAATGCTTCAAATTCTTTGTCAAATGACTTGCTATCAATATAAGAATCAAAAAGAAAACATACAATAAATATAACAGAACAGTGATTTATTAAAACATAATATTGTTTGTATAATACCTACTGCAATTTATAATCTTAATTTTTTGATAGTTTGCAATATATTTCTGTTCGAATAAAACTTCAATGTTTAATGCTGTTGTAGAAATTGTCGTATTTTTCTGTGACATAAGTCCTTCAAAAATAAGTAAAAATTAAACAGAATGTTGTATTCTGTCTTTAAAGGTAAAAAGCCACGTGATAAATATTACAAACTAGTCCGGTGAAATAATTAAAAATAATTCGTGTGAATTTTCACCCCTTAATTTTCTCTTCTTGAGTATTTCATGTTTATCCAAAAAGTAAAGACATATTTCTTTTGCAATTTGAGATACTATCATACTATATGTATTATATATTTTTTACTACTATTATAATTGAAAAACTGCTTCTTCAGAACATTGCTTGTTAATGAGACGTATATCAACATTGATGACAACATATAAATGTGTTTGTTTATTTCATTTTCGTGCGTAGTAAATATTCATATAATTGAAGCGAGGCTCAGTCATATTTAAGATAATAGAAGTCCAGTAAATGGAGTTCTACTATACTGATATTAAGTCTGTGTCATAAACTCCCTTGTTGGCGTGCCCTGACGAGCAACAACCAAAAATAAGGGCGATGGCGTTATCTATTTGGCAGCTGCGACCGAGACGAGCGTCCCAAGGGTCATTATTTCGAAAGATCACGAACAAACTTCGTGACTTCGTGATATGTCTACGTGACTGGTTCCAGGCGTTTGCGTTAAACAGCCCTTTTGCTTCCTCCACTGGCCTCCGCGGTAGTCCTTCCAAGAAGCCAGTCGATTGGTCCGGCCGCTCGGGAAGCCTCCCGCGGCGGCCAATCGGCGCGCCGTTTCGGTTGGGTGTGAAAGAGAGCTGCGAGGTCGCCACTTGTGCTACGCTTAACGTCGCGTCCCGCATTGCCGGACGGCCACAGTCTTTGCGTGTGTCTGGCCGTAGATGGTGATGAACTTCGTTGCCGGTTCGATCAGCTTTTAACCCTCCTCAAGCAACATCTCGTGACCGACGCCAATCGCGACCGGTTTATCGATTTCGGGGAAAAACACCGAGCCACCAAAGAATGGGCATATTCCGCGAGTTTCCAATAGTATTTAATCTTTACAAAAAGTATAGTTAGGCGCGTCCGTGAACGAACGGGACCGGTGGAACGCAGTGATCGTACGGTTTATATGGGCACCGGCCGTCGTGAATTTACATTCGACGTTCATGTAAATACAGAACTATACCGTGAAGGTGAGTAGTCAAATGGCTTGAAACATTTCATTTTCTTCATTGTGTCAAACTACAACGTTGTGACACCGTAAAACGTTTTTACGAATTTTCGTTCGAAAACGTATTACCGAGAAGGTACGAGCGTACATAGATTTACGGACAAGTTACGGTAAATGTTCGAAGGATACAAGCCTACATTCGTTGTAATTGAAATTTTTCAAATTCTTGTGATTATTCGTTCCGCGTTACGAATTATGGTATATTTACCGTATCTTCGTGAACCAACTGCTCTACACGACCCTTGTAAATAAAAATTAAGGGGAATTTTAAATCTGGTGACCTGGAAGGTCGACTGTTAGATCTGCTAACGTTGAAGGAATTGTTTACTCTCGTTTATCTAATTCAAATAGATTTGCTCTGGCTTCGAGACATCCTATTAAGTATTCATTTCCTGAAATTTAAGGATATAACCAGGTATCTTTAAATTACAGAAAATAATTTTGTTAATGTTCGACAGTTGACGCTGGTATTGGATCTGTTTTTGAGATAAAAAAATATTCTGATTTCGAATTTAAAACCAAACCACGGTTTCACGTACAGTCCCAGAAACGTTGACTACATAATTTTTGGGCAAAGGAGTGACGTGACGTTCGAAGGTTTTTTCTTTATGAGCGCTAAATGTACTTGAGCAACCAGTGCATAATTTATCTTGATTCCCCATGCGCTGGAACATTCTCTTCGTCAATTGGTCTGATGGACGGTGACAATTCACCGTATTTCCGGCATCCAATTATTAATTAGTCCGCGACCTGTACCGTCGAGGGTCGATCGACACGGTACTTTGTCCCCCATGTTTACCTCGTTGTCCTCGTCGTGTGTTTAAGGACACGGTCAGAAGTTTCTGGACGCGATTTAAATTTTACGCGGAATACTTTCGCGATTTGGTCACTGACCATTATCATAAGATCAACGTGACCGTTTTGCTAAATCAACCGTTTGGTGTGCCACTCTTTTGTACCGTGTTTGAGGTAACTGGTATCCTCGCGAAGGAACAATGCAACGAAAGAGGTTACTTTTTCTTCGATCGCTGTCTTCCACGGTCGAAGCAAGGATTTCAAGGTCTACGACACCGAATATGCTTCGAATTTGTATATAGAGTGTTTGGACACCCATGGGAAAAATTTTAATGGGATATTCTGGAGGACAAAATAAGATGAAAATCAAAAATATCAATTTCTTGACTGAGGCATCGTTAAAAAGTTATTAAAAAATTTCAAATCGTTCTAAAAAAATTATTGTTAGTTGCAAGGAACGATTACAATAATTTTTGGTCACTATACATACCCACGAAATCCTACGTATTTACAAGAAAAAAATTCTTTACCGAACTACAATGTCTGACACTGAAATTCCGATTCCCCTGAAATTTCAAAAAATTCCAAATCGTCTGGGAAAATTATTTTCGGTTGCGGGGATCAATTACAATCATTTTTGGTGAATAGACATATCCCCGAAATCCTACGCACATTCGAGAAAAAAATTCAAGAATGTAGTCAAATTTTTCGGGGGGGAAAAAAAATTTCAAATCGTTTTGGAAAAATTATTTTCGGTAGCAGGGGTCAATTACAATCATTTTTGGTGAATAGATATATCCCCGAAATCCTACGCACTTTCGAGAAAAAAATTCAGGAAGATGGTCAAATTTTTTGGCGAAAAAAAAATTTCAAATCGTTTTGGAAAAATTATTTTCGGTTGCGGGGATCAATTACAATCATTTTTGGTGAATAGATATATCCCCGAAATCCTACGCACTTTCGAGAAAAAAATTCAGGAAGATGGTCAAATTTTTTGGCGAAAAAAAAATTTCAAATCGTTTTGGAAAAATTATTTTCGGTAGCAGGGGTCAATTACAATCATTTTTGGTGAATAGACATATCCCCGAAATCCTGCGCATTTTCAAGAAAAAAATTCTGTAAGGGAGGAACTTTAAACGTTAATAACTTTTTAACGAAGTTAAAATCAACAAATTGGTATTCTTGATTTTCGTCTTATTTTGGGTTCTAGAATCTTGCATCTTTCCCAGAGGTGGTCGAACACTCTGTATAGGGGGCTTAAAGAGGATTTAAAAATTAATCAAAAAGATAGAGACGAATAAACTTTTATATTTGAGACTTTGAGTAGTAACGAAAAACAAATAGTATTTAAAATTTTGATCAAACTAAAAAATGACACAAAATAGTTTGGAATAGTGGTATTTCTATCTATATAGAATTTATACAGTCGCAAATGTAATTTCCGGTATCATAAGGAGCACATTCGCAATGCACTCACATTTCATAGATAATGCACGCATTCTTCTCTTCTTTTATCTTCGTTGCACTTCATATTACAGAAGAAATACAGTTGGTCTTTCGAATTAGCAAATTATCATGAAATTTTAAATTCAATATGTAAACGAGCATATTACATGGTTTCCTTTAAAGTTTTTACGAATGACCGAGAACTGAGATACGGATAATGTTTCTTGCACGATGCAGAACCGAGAAAAACACATTTTTCTTATCTGAATTACGTTTTCACCTCGGTCAGCGTTTTAACGTTTCTCTTTCTAAAGCAAGGACTACGCGAGTTTGTTTACATGCACTGTTTCACGGTAATCATACTGCAATGTTTACAAGGTTAACATATATTTATAGCATAAATAAACTTGTCGCAATAAATCATAGTCTTCTCATTAGAGCTGTCCAAATATACGAAATTCAAACCACGACAAAACTCATTTGTTCAAACCAAATCAAGTATATCATATCCAAGTAGCTTGAATATTTGTTCAAGCTTGAAAAGATTCAATCTCTTCAAATGTTTGAACTACTTGATTCTTTGTACAAAATTATCATATTCTAAGCTCGAAAAAAATGAAAAATTTTAAATCATTCTTCGACTTTTACTAATGTGAGGCCACAGATATTTCTTTTTAATTTCTAGAATTATCTAAACTTGTCCAAATTTTAATCAAGCGAACTTTAATATTAAAATATAATAATTATGTAAGAATACATAATCAAGTTTGTTTGAACGATCAAGATTGCTTGAACGATCAAATAATTGATTTAAACAGCCCAAATTGAGCTTGACTCTGCATGGTCGCCTCTAGTTCTCGTAAAAAGTCCACTGCAAGTGCGATACGACCTACCTAAGTCAGAGTATGACTGTACACAAATGGTTACATCAGCTCGGACCAGTTCCTCTACATTCGATGGCCCTCTATCTACGATCTACGAGGTCGCTTATTCGCGTTGATCAAGAGGGGTTGGGGGGGAGGCATGGGGGACACGACACAAGAGTATATTACGATCGACTCGACCGGTTCGCGAGTGTGTCACGAGGCTCGTGCCGTTGTGAAATAGTGCGTTGCACCGATACGCGCTCATAGTCATTGTTTGCTCTTCTGCCCTGACGGTTCCTCCACCTTCGTGTACCTTCCATCGCGCGTTGCATTTCCAAACGTTCATCGAGTTTCTCGGTTTCGCCAACGGTACGGCTCCGAGTTCGAGCGAACTGTTTCGCGATCGACGTTGCTCCGAATCGTCTGAAAATGCCGCTGGCTCCTTAATCTCGGGTCGCATGGGCTATCTGGCCGTCGCCTTTTTTTCTTCCACCACGTAGCTTTCACAACGCGAAAAGGCAAAGGTCTGTTCAGCGGCGATCGAAATGTTTGCTCGCGATTCTTGAACCGTGCGTCAAAGTCGACCCGGTCTACGTGCATCGGTGAAAATATTTACATTTGCGTGCATTGCCAAATCCCCTTTCGCTCAGACCCTTTTCAAACAACGTTTTTCGTTTATTTTTTCAGAACGAGGTACCAAGCCGATCGCGATTGGACGTTGACTGGAACGTCCAAAAGGAAACGCAGACGATCCAAAGATAACACACAGGTCTCGAGCTAGGTAACGAGCGGCATGGCGAAAGTACCAGGAATGGTGGAGACTGAGAACGCGGTTGGGAAACAGACTCTAGTGGGCCGTGTATCCAATATGCTCAAAGGTGAGAAACATTTTATAGTTTACGTTTACCCAAATTACGCAGTATTGGGAGGCGAGATGCTGAGACGCAGAAATCGAATGACGCAAATGTTCGAACTCTTCCAGTTTTCAGGTTCTTGTTTATTATTACATTGGTGGAGACGTAAACTCAGAATAGTAATCGTTAACGGAGTATTTCGATCCAGAATTTCGAATATTATTTCATTTTACATCAATAACGAAGTTATAGATTTGAATATGTTTGTTACATGCAGTCATATCTCTCCTGATATCTCAACATTTCGTCTATCAATAGTAACAACGTCGATTTCTGCAGCTTCCTAATGATTACTCTTAGGATTATGTTAATTAGTATAATATGGTTGTTTTAAGCTGCCAAAACATGGTGTAAAAGGAAAATTACTTATATCTAATCGTTTCTTTCTAACAAATCCTTACAAAAAGGCTCGATCTGATTGCCTGGTCCCCTTAACGCGTCGCTGAAGCATAGGTTTCCTTTGCCGACAGATGGAAGCTACAGCGGGCCACCGATGCTGTTCCGCCACGCGTCGATGCAGCGAATCCGCCATTGTTGCCAGAATCTGAATCTCTTCCCTTATTTGCTCTACTCGTTCGACAATTCAAAGTCTCACCCCATAGCTCGCAAGGCGCATCTGCGCTTCGGTCAGCTTCTGCAGAGTATCGCGGCGAGGATCCTCTGTCTGTTCAGGAGCTTCCGGCAGTCGTTGGTCCAGGAGGTTCGTCCCGACGAATCCCAGACGCAGGAGTCGACGACGCGGGCCAAAGAGACGTGCAAGACGACGCTCAAGTTCCGGTCTGTTGATCCGCGGAAGCGCAAACAGCACCCGATCGGGCTGATCATAGCCGTTTACTTCGCGCCGATGCTGCTGATCTTCCAATCGATCGGTCTGTTCAGCGTGATGGTATTCGACAAATACACGCCGGGGTTCATCTTCCTCATCGCGGCTCTGCTGATCTTGGGCGGTATCTGGCTGAAGATCCTCTTCCACGAATCCGTGACGCACAGACCCAAGCACGATAAAAAAAAAGATCAGTGATAACCACGGTGATTCCTTCTTGACCCCATCATCCGTCATGCTGCGATCGAAAACTGTTCATCGAGAAGATAGCGGACTACAGAAAGTATTGTGACACTTGGTCTCCCATTGCAATTATCCGCCCGTCGCATTTAAACACTTAAACAGTGCCGGATAGAGTTTATGACTGTCGCGGGGCTAGCTCGTCCGACAGGCCGTGTTCTCACTTGTCCATCTGCTTCGATAGGTTTGTAGGGATCTCTGGTTCGACCCGGTCAGTTTTTGCGAGTTCCGTAATATTTGTTCTATTTTGTTTTTTTTTTGTACATCGCCAAATGGACATGTAAGAAGCGTTAGAGGATAGGAAACGGTATGACGTACGACCGTGAACTCGGGTAGATTTTAAGGATACCGTACAGCACTTAAATGCCCGCATAATTGTAATTGTTCTTTATCTTAAACGTAATTCTGGGAATTGCTACTTTCCAGCGCCGTTACGAATCGAGAGCAATCGAAGGAATTGTTTAGATAACGATCGCGAAGCACCTTATCCTCTGCAGCAGAAGACTGAGAACCGTTTTAACTTGTTTGTATATATAAAAAGAAGAAGAGGAGGAAGAATAAAAAATAGAAAAAAAAAAAGATAAAACGCGTTAGGGAAACATATATTATCTATATTACACGGAGTTGCTTGATCGTTCTTGAGAAGATTCGGTGCGTCCATTGAACAAGTTAGGTTGATCTGTGATGAAGTGGATCCGAGTGTATTTTTCACGGCCACTTGCTATTCCACTTACTTAAGTACAATAAGAATACATGTGTAACGTCGATTTTTTTTTTAAAATATATGTTGCTTACACAATTACCTTCTCTCTTATTATGAATACTGTACACTTTGCGCTATTTCTACCGCCGGTTTACTATAACCAGAAGGAACAAACTGCAGTACAAAAGAATGGTGATCAAAACATCGCTGTCGTGTCTTCGACCACTGTTCACGTCCGAATTTGAATTCGCGCGTGGTTCCATATTCGCTGCAAACCCTATAACGCGGGCGACGTAATTCTGCTCGTGCACGCTATGGAACAGGTGAGCGAACGGACCTACGAAATGGAAAAATATATTACATTTTGATCAACTCTGACATTCGAAGTTCACCATTGCTATACTCGTTGCAGACTCCTATTATGAATCATTGATACTGGTACCTATTGCATAGACAGCTACGTCGCCGCCACCGTGATAAGCTTCGTCCGATATGATCGTAGCTTGCTGGCTGTACGTGAATGCTGTCGTGTTTTCTTCAGAAGGGTCCATCCTAACCGAAACGTTGTTCTTTACCGTGTACGCGACGTTGTTGGGGCCCCCGGTGCTGTAAGTCAGCGTCGTGTATGGAATACCGTCGTGTTTCGACTTCTGAGCGACGCCTGAAATTTTTTAGTCCGTTACTCACTTTCAGATTCACTTGGGTTTAACTCATTACGAAGTCTCATGCATTTTCGTACGACTAGGTTGTTCGATTAAAAATTATCTAGTGTAAACACGGTGTAATGTACCCAGGATGTTCGAGCCACGTTCGCTGTATCCGTTGAAGCTCATCGAATGAGTGTGATCGCTCGTTACGATAACCAGAGTATCGTTGGTGTCGATCATCTTTAAAGTCGCGTTGATAGCATCCGAGAACCTGACGGTCTCCAGTAATGCCTGAGCGGCGTGGCCGCGATGATGGGCGAAGTCGATAAGACCCCCCTCGACCTAAAAGTAACACCTCGTGTTAATAATGATGGAACACCTCTGAAATTTTTCTGTTTCTCGAAAACAATAATGTGGAGGGTCGTCCCTGGGAAAAATTTTAATGAGAGATTCTAGAGGCCAAAACAAGACGAAAATCAAGAGTACCAATTTGTTGATCGAGGCCTATATTAACAACTCTAAGCGAAACAGAGAAATTTCAGGGACGTCCTATCATTTTGTCACGAATTCCAGTTTTACCACTAATAGGTAGCCCCGTTTCGATCTCTGTAAGACTTTCAACGCTGTGACGGTCATCTCTTCGAGACTTGGCTGCCCTTTCGGACCCTTTTCCCTGTTCCAGTCCATGTTGATGTGACCATTCGCGAAGATGCCTAACAAATAGTCCACCTTGCCAGTGTCCACCTTGGACAATTGTTCGTTATTTTCAACGACACCGAACGACAATTTCCTGGACACTTTGTCCCGTTTCCATTCTTCGATCAAATCTCGACCATCCTGTCTTTTACACGCCCACGTATCTATCGGATCGAATTGCGTACCTGTTGCATTGGTCTTCATTACTTGTCTTCCTCCTCCCATGATTACCTGCATATGAAAGTTTCTGTTCAGCCGTAATCACCCTCCGTGTAAAGTGGGTTGCGTAATAGATCCATGCGCATCGTGTAATACATAAGGTTGTTGCATATGAAATGACTCGATTCTTGACATTCACCGGATGTCGATTAATAGACTTTACATTGTTAGTGTTTATAGCTTAAAAATTGGCTTCTTCTCAGATCAATATTTTACTTGTTTTTTTTCAAACTTGTCATGATAATTTTAATCCTCCAAAATGAGGTGTTTGTGGGTCATTTATAGTTAATGGAGGCCACAAACTTTCTATGACTCTATGCAAAAATGAAAATTCCCATCCCTGTTATAGTTTATGAAATCAGTCGTTTCATTTTTAAGAATTTAATATTTTGCCTTTATATTTCTCCCTGGAAGATCCTCCACCAGCTGCCTCGCGATGTCCTTGCATTTTCCAGCAGTTTTTGGCATGGTTCCATCGCATTCCCATCTCCTGTCTGCGCTATGAGCGTACAAAGGCGCGGGGGTAGCGTGGGTGACTCTGGTGGTCGTCACGAATCCTGTAAATTGAAGGGTGATAAACCCTGACATTTGTTTGAGGGTAGTTTCTCTTTCAAACAAGTTCGTAGAATCCGACATCATGAAAGCATTCGAGAAACTTTCTATAAAAATGTAAAAATATGGCGCAGTAACTACGTACTTCGACACTTATTCAAGGGGATGAATCAAGTCATGCATTATGTGCTATTCTCATCTTTAAAAAATATGCTTTGATAATAAAATTGCTCGAGAGTTGAATATTTTAATTAATTTGGTTCAATAATTTATCTTCATTGGATTTGATTGCAGTTGTCTTTAGTTTTGTGATTATTTTTTCGCGTTTGATATTCTTAGGTAGGGTCCAGGAATCAGGCGAGTCTCCGCAGCCTGAGTCGTCTTTCACTCCGTTGGGAATTAAAAGAATTCTTGTAATTTCATTTCCTACCACAAGAAGCGCTACGGTCGTTTTCTCTAGCCTGTCGGTAATGTTGCGAGCGACGCCAAAATGATAATGGGCCGAAAAAATATAGTTCGGGCCAGAATATAGCGAGGTGGTAAAGTCGAGGTGTCAAAGTTTACACGTTTCAGCTCTCGAGTCAAGTGAATTGACAAAAATACGAGCAGCTAAGGGCCTTAGACCATAGTCAGGGCTCTACGAAGAAATGTTTTATCTACTGTCGCCATTTTTAGAGGTATCGTAACAGGTAAAGGTCTTTCTCAAGTCTTGGATATCTTAACTCAAGCAAGATGTCATGTACGACCCTAAGTGCCGCAGTAGGAGTCCGCCCCAACCCTCGAGAGTTTTGTGGCCCGTACTATACATTGGGTGAAAGGTCTACTCTCATACCTCGTCTATGGTTGTGACTCACCTGTGTCTTTACCAGCAGCCAGTGCCCACGACACGATCGAATCCACATGATTGTCGGTATTGAGGCTCGCTGTGCAATTAGCCAGAGGCACGTTCGCGTTGACACCGACCACTTCGTAATTAGTTTTCACACCGCCGAACAGTGCTGTTGCCGTTGACGCAGAGTCCGGCACTTGCTTGTCCACGTTGTAAGTCTGGCGTAAACAACGTAATATACATAAATGAACCTCTACGAAACACGCTGTGTATATCGTAAAAAAACTGTAGCGTCCAAGACCTTGAGAATTCCAATGTGTGGGAATTTCTCCCAGGCCAGATGACCGGTTTCGCCAGCACTGTAAATCCTGCTAGCAGTTATGGTGTCGGGACTCATACCGTCGCCCACAAAAATTATCACGTTCGTCGCTCGGTTTGTGTTCCATTTGTACGACAAAGCCTCCTCTAATTCCTTTTTTGATAATTTCTGCCAGTGTTTACTGTCTGCGCAATCAATGATCTCTTTAGATCCTCTTTAGGTTTATTTTTTCGTGGAAACGTATTCATAAATGTCTTAGCAACGATAAGGAATTAATGCACGCGCAAAAATGATCGAGATAAGAGTTCAGAGACGAGGATGAATGTCACACGATTCGATGAGAGAATCGTCGTTTTAAATATTCTTTTCTGAATGTTTTGCGTGTTTCTGATTCTAACGACGAGGCTGTAGTGTATGTTTGCAAGCAATTTATGAGACTTATAAACTACAATGAAAATGGAAACTGCATTATCGTCCGAGGACGTCGACGCAGAGAGCCACTGACGATCACAATTTACGCACGAGTCGATAAATTTAATATACCTTCTTTGATCGTTGCACCAGCGATTCCCATCAGTAGGATGACAAGGTGTAACGTGAAAATCTTCATTCTAAACATGTTCTTTTCCTGCCTCTTGATGGTTCTTGCTGGTCATGTCACAAACTGGTGTCAATTACGTTATACGCCAGAGGCGACTGAAGGGAATAACAAGGCTCTGCTAACTACTTGCTTACGATTGCTCCTAACGCTCCCTATTGCAGGACAGATTGTATCATGTCGGTAAGAAAGAAACCTGTTTCTGGCTGAATATCATCAGAGCCAATAAACCTATAATAAAATTCACGACTGTTCGCTGCAAAACATTTAATTCTATAATTGAAATGTCTATTCTAATAAATAAACTATTCTAATAAACTACTGCCTCGAGAATTAGTGCATCTTAAATATTTGAACTCAAAGAATCAAGGTTTAAGATAGGGTTATTGAACATTGATCAATTAATGCTCGGATAACTGAAAGAAACGTGGGATCGAAGTCTTGCAGTTATAGAAGCATTTTTTATTGTTCGTTAATGGAGTCTTTACGAATATATTTGTGAAATTTTTTTGATTGAAATAAGACCAAAGTATAACTTCAATCATACTAAACTGTTGCAAAATTAATAGATAAATATTATTCAAATTATATCGTGTTTGGTCCCATTTTAATCTGAAAAATCTGAGAAATACATTGCTAAAAGATTCATTAAAAAAAAAAGAACAATAGTAAAGAAACTTCATCTCTGCATTAGGTACTACGTAATCGTTCACTTATCCGATCGAAAGTGACTATCAGTTATCCAAACATTGTTGCATTTGATACGATGGAAGCTTTTTAGGAGCACAGGGTGGGCAATACGAAGGGATCGGACGGATTTAGCTAACATTCACTGTAACGTTTTATTTGATTTTTGTTCATATTCACTGTCTGTTCGTACAGATCGTAACACATCGCGTAATACAATTTCTGTAGACGAATTTTCTTCTCCACTCGCGTGTTCGACGTTAAACAAAACTACTAAAAATAGACTCGATAAAATCAACCGTTCAAGTCATTTTTCTTGCCACGTCGCTGGGTGTTACCTGGGTCGTGCGTTTCTTTTTTTTGTTTTTTTTTTTTGGAGACGAGAATCCGTTTCTTCGAGAAACGCGCAGTAGAAAAACCAGGAGAAACCTACAATTTCTAACGTCCGTCTTCTTCGCTTTCGACGTCCACCGCGTCGAAGGATTCGCGAAGAAGCGCGCTCGCGCTATTATAATATTATCAGATCACGTCCCTAACATGCCTAACGTCCTCCACGATCACGGGAGTCGACGATACAGAGTATAAGTTTGTAAATTTTGATTTTGTCACCGCGGTTAGAGGCTTCTTGGGCGCGCTCGATCCTTCAACGCTCGATTCCTGTTACCCTTTGGCCGAATTTCGAGTCAAATACACGTGTGCATGATCTATCGTCTACCGTCGACAAGATTCTCTCGATGAAAAGAAATTAGGCGTATCAGCGGTCCCGATGGTTCTACGTTTCGCCGATCCAGCAGGGTCAGCTACGATGAATTTCGTGCAGCAACAAAGTTTAATCTTTTACGGACTACGCGAGCATGTTTTGTACTGGCACTCGAGGTATCCTCTTTATCGAATTCCGTGTTATCGAACAATTGTACAAACGCGAACTCGTCATCAACGGCAATCGTTACGCGAGTATTACGCTGGAACGCGACACGATCTTTTGTGTCTAGAACTGTGGCCAACAGTTCGGGCTGCTCATGGTCACTGCATCGTCATCCATTACTTCCCCCCACTTTGGTTGGTTGTTCCACTTTTCAGGGGTCTCTACACGACATGTAGCTACAGTAATATAATGCAAGGTTAATTTTCGGGTGATTTGGGACCCAAAAGTGAAAGAATGATCATGCAATATACATATGAAACTTCACTTTTCGTAGCTTTCGTGTTATCCTTGAATGGTACACATTCTTCAGATTTTTCTAATTAAAATTAGTGTATACACGACCTCACCCAAACTACTTTTAATTTACTTAATATATGTAGTGTTACAAAATTGTCCTTGACTGACCTTTTGAAGGTCAATTTTTTTTTATGAATGCATCGTGCACTGTTAATTATAAGCATAACTCGATCGTACTCTTGAAAAATTATATTAATTTATAAATTTACATTTTAAAGAAAAAACTGTGTGTCATCGTTGAACTGCATTTGTTTATATTTTAAATTCTAATTAGTGTAAATGTTAATGTGTGGAGAGATTTTATAAGGGATGATATTATAGACTCTATTTGCCTACATAATTAAGAAATCAAAATTATTTACATTTTCTTTGTTCTCGTCTCCTACTTGAATTAAGGCACATCATTTCTCGACATAGACGTAACACAATTCTTTTTATACATGGTGCAAAAAAATTAAGGTGAACATCGAATATCAGCTGTGGTAAAATTATTTTGGAAAAAAATTTTCACAATTTTTAGGTTTCGCGTTTTGTAAATACGGAAAGTGGTATAGACTTGATTTTAACGATTCAATTTTTTCTTTAAAATGTGAAAAAATGAAACTTTAGTAATCTTTCAAAAATTGAAAGAAAAATGCGCAAACAGTGTCACAAATGCTACGAATCAGTTATTATATGTTAAGTTTGTTAAAAGTAATTTGATTTACGTGGTGTTTGGGAAGTAAACATTTTTCTCATTGCATAATTATCAATCTTTTTAGATTCACTTTCTTTGTTCAAGTTTCTTAGTGAGAATTCATTTCGATCCCAACGAAATTTACCCGATGGTAAGAACTTCGATTTCCTCGAAGCTTGCGAAATCCACGTTCACGGTATAGTACCAACAAAACAATAGAAAGTTGTGAAAGGCCGCGAAATGGCAAAAGGCTATGGATCGAAATGGTAAATACGTTCTTCAACCCTTTGCACTCCATTGAGCGCCGTCACGGTGCCATACACAATACCCACAACTTAGTTCGAGTTTCATTTATGATAACGCAAACTGAATTAACTAAAACGAACGAAATTAAAATTATAAACACGTATAAAATTTTGTGCGATACAAGAACACTTATAATTTCCAGAAATGGCGCTGCAAAATTGCCCTGACGTCTAGACTTTCATATTTTTGGTCTTTTTAGGAATCTTTTTAGAATAAAGGTATAAGTTTCTAAATTTTTACATCTTGCATATATATTTATTTATACCAATATTTCTTTAAAAACTGGTGTCCTGCTGGTCGACACGATTATGTTTATTTGAAATAATAAAGTCAAAAGGATTCTTGATTGGTATGATTGTGATTATGGTGTGAATCAAAATGGGGGAAAAATAGTTTCAGAATAAGATTTTAAATTTTGAACAATAAGGAAAATTCTTTTTTTTATAATTATAATCCTTTCGATTTTTTTTATATCAGATAAACAGAAAAATCGAAATTCTATTAACTAGCAGGACATAATTTTTTAAGAGGAATCTTGTTCAATGACATATGTATAAGTCAGTAAGTTTTGATTATTTTCACTTGAAAAAAATTGTGACTATTGGACTATAACATAAAGAAACACGTATGCAGAGTATCGAAATTAAGAAACTTATACTTTGTTTGTAAAAAATCCCTAAAAAGACCAATATGAAACTTTAGGCTAGAATATCCCCTTAAATAACATTGCAAAGGATTAATAAGGTACTCGTACGTTTTAAAAAGAATAACGTCACTTTTTGAACAACCCAATTCCTTCGAAGATTGACCGAGCAGCCCGATTGGTTAGCTACGACACTAGTTGGGAGAAAACATCGCTATCATAGAACTCTCGCTGCGACAATTGCTCTAATATAAACTCTCTACAAATCTCTCTTAGACGATAAAGTACAATAAAGTTGTCCTCCATACGCATTAACACAATACACGCGTGTCACGCTGTATCGATTACAGACGCCGCTCGATCGTTCGCCCTTCAGCTACTTTCTTTCGTCTTCCTTAAGTCGCATATTATTGCCAACGGTTTGTGTCTTTGGTATATCAGTTCTCTCTACTCCTTTAACAGTCTCCGTGACGAACTACCCTTTCCAACGAAACTATCGCTAACACATTCAGACGAGTCTTCTTCGTTTCTGAAGGATCCTCCGCAACGTTGACGATACTATTACCAGTCCTGAGCTTTCTGACGCTAGTCGACTCTGTATTAAATGTTATTCTATCCATTCTCTAGCTTCATAACTAGTTTCAACCTTGTTCAACGCAAGGACTCCAACCCTGACCACAATCTGGTTTAAAAACGCAATAATCAAGCTTATATTTTAGCTTAATCAGACTTGCTCGAGAGGTCCAATTTCTTTTATAATTGGACATAAAAATCGGGACAAAAGAAATCCTTAAAATGGGTTTTTAGTTAAAATCCAGGACATTTGAGACAAAAATTGGTCAAATGGAAACCGTATTGTACATCTACCAAATGTTTACGATAGATCGATTTATGAAAAAACTGTTTCGATGGTGTTCATCGCTGGAAATTATAATGATAGACCAACAAGCACTGTCTGACCAACGTGATCACGTGCTCCAAAACAAAAGGAGAAATTCGATTCCGTCGATAATTGAATTTGCAGTGTAAAACCTGCAACGGAGTCAGCAGACTAGATTAACGGTAGCAGTTAGACGTCATAACATTTAATACGGACGCAAATAACATCCGGAAGCCTAGACTATAACCAGGTCGCAAGGAACTGGTCGCTGTAGGTTACCTTCTGCCAGCAAGACACTCTAGATACGTCCTCCAGGCTTAAGCCTCGTACATACTTGCGATCAAGGCTCGCGGTGCAAAGTTATCGACGAGTTTCGTACGCGAATCAGCCTGACTCGTCCGTAAATCGAGGAACACAGCGATTCACGATCACTGTTTAGATCTTGTCTCAAGTGCGTACGCGGCTTAAGGGTTATACCATGCTTGATCGCCGCTGGTGCATAACTGTATGCACGATTGCAGCTGATACCGCATATGTATTGGGAAAGTGTGCTAAACATAACGCCAGACCTTGAACGGCCAGTTGCTTCCGGTCGGGTTACGGTAATAGTAGGAACAGCGGCCGTGAAAGTCTCAAGACTTTAACGCTGACGCCCGAGTATTAATTTATTCGT